CGCTGGTGATGACTGCTGGTGATTGATTGCTGGTGAGGCGATCTTCTGGTCTTTTGTCTCTTTTGAATAGTATGTAGATGCTGTTTATTATGCGTCTGTTAATTGCTGCCTTGTCTGAATACCTCTGAATACCTTTCAGAGATGTTAGAGGGCCAGAACAGCACTTTTAGCAACTGCCCTAAAAGAGTTCTATGATGACCATAAACTCTTCTTCCAGTATCTCAAGAACTAAGTCGTCCCTTTAACATTTACATTTCAGTGATAATAGTGTTTGGATAAAAGCGGCAGTAGTGGGGAGATTTGAACAGATCTCTGGCAGCTCATAAAACAGGCCTTTGGGGGCTGCAACTACATTGCAAACCACAGGTTGCTCAGCTCAGATCTCAATGGTACGAAATCCAACCATTGCAGGTAGATATGGTCATGAAAAACCAAACCAAAGATGTGTTATTAACTTACTAAAATGAAATCATTAGCTTATTTGCTTTTCATATAAAACCTCAGGCACAGTTGTTAAAACTAAAAAATACATACACAGCTGACATCAGTATGGATGCACAATTCTTAGCGTATGAATTAATTACATCAAGTAAAACGCAGTTTGCTTATTTGTGGCTTGGAATGAGTTCCAGCACTGTCATTTGTAACTATTTTTTTTTTTTAAGTCCGTTCAGTTGTGTCCGATTCTCAGAGACTGCCTGGACAAGTCCCTGCAGTTTTCTTGGCAAGGATTTTCAGAGGTGGTTTGCCATTGCCTCCTTCCTAGGGCTGAGAGAAAGTGACTGGCCTAAGGTCACTCAGCTGGCTTTGTGCCTAGGCAGGACTAGAACTCATGGTCTCCCGGGTTCTGGTCCAAACTGGCCCTCAACTAAAAGTTTAAGGCTTAACATAGTGTATGAATCAAGTCATGTAAAACATGTGATAAAAATTACATCACTATTCTGAATATGACCAAGAAAATATAAATCTGTTTGACAGAATGCTTGGTTCCTAACTCATATTCATTACTTGAGACACCTTCTATGGCTTAAATTCTAAACATATTTAGAAGAGCTCAGTGGAGTTTCTTTCAGAATAAAAAAACAAGCTTATGACAGAATTGCACATTTTCCATTTTCATTACTCAAGAAGATTAAAAAACAAACAAACACCTGAAACTAGAAGTTTAATATAAAAGAATAATTGGGTTCATGAGTGATGGAGAAGCCAACTTACATCTCTGTCCAGAACTCGTCCAGTGCTGTTAAGATAAAGTCTCTGGTTGATAGGATCCAAAATGACCCAGTAGTCTGTGTTATCCTTTAATGTGAGTTCGATAGTGGGATCAGATCCTCCTGCTGTTCCTTTGATCAACATGCTGTCTACCAAGATTGTGCCTGAAACAGAAAGCAGAGAAGGCAGGTTTTGTGTTCTGTAAGCAGAATACAGTTTTGAGAAAGCACAAAATCAAATTGATAATTGCCATGTGCTACACTGACCTGTGATGAGTTTACCTGCTCAAAATACTTTCAACTATCATCAATAACCTAACATAAAGAACAAACAAAAATAGCCACATCAACGCTATATATATTAATCCAAACTAAATTTCAAATGGGGTAGAAAGAGAACAAGCACAAGGAGTGATATATCGTATTTATTCAATATACTTTATGCATTGAACTGTAAACTGAGAGGTCTGAGATAATACACTGAAGAAAACAAACTGATTGCTTCCTTAGGTTATAATGACATTTAGATTTGTACATGCTATGCTTTCTGGTTACTTGAAACACAAAGTATTATAAACTGCAAATAAAGAGTCCTTATTATATTTAGCCTAAAGAAATACTCTGTTCAGCTGAAGTGCCTCATCCCAGTTAAACAAACAACATTAATGCACCTTTGTTATATTGTTTTATAGTAATCCTTGTTAGATTGATATCCCATCTTTCTTCCAGGAACTCAAGATGGTGTACATAAATATCAGTTAGGCTGAGAAACTGATTGGCCCAAAGTCAGCCAGTGAGCCTCCATGTGCTTGATAAGAAACATGTGCATGGTTCATTGGGATAGCATAGTATCAATAGAAGAGAATATATGTAGCTCAGGGTTGAACTGTGGCATCCTTGGTGATCTCTGAGCTTGGCTGTTTGCTTGCAAATGTTTCATTACCCAGCTAGGTAACAGCATCATTGTGACATCATCATTGCAGTGATGAAATTATCTAGTTGGGTAATAAAATGTCTGCAAGCAAACAACCAAGCTCAGAGAGCACCAATGACTCCATAGCATAGTATGTACAGTAGTTGAATTACTAGGTACATGGGGTGGGGTGGGGTGGGGGGAGAGAAAAAAAACCCTGCCTCCTTATTTTGTTATTCAAGTTAAAAGGCTGGAATTTCAGATTTGATTGAATCTCTACTCCTTTTCCTTGATAATTCAGGCACTTTGAATATAAAACTTGATTTTACCCTGAAGGGCCAACTTGATGTGAGTTGTCACATCACAACTGACAACATGTCAGTTTTTTTTTTTTAATAATAATATAATGGGAAGCAGTGGAATATACTATTCAGAAAGACATTTAAGCTTTTTTTTTTTTTCCTTGACTCCAAAGCTGACAAAAGTTCCTCCCTTCTAACATAGTTATTGGGGGTAAGGGGATGGGGAAAAAGCTACCATTTTTACTGGTAATTTTTTATTTTTATTTTACCCTTAAGGCTAATAGACATATCTTTTTATTGCTCCAGGATTTTACCTGGAAATGTGGTTGGAAAAAGGTTAAAAATAAGCTTGTCACTGACTGCAGTCCTCAAGAAAATTGGGGATGGAGGTGATGCAGATCTACTCTATCATTTCAAATGAATATTCACTACAGCATCTATTTTGGTTCTGATTTCTTATTTTACCATGCTGGATCATGGCCTTTAGTACATTCAGAGAGTGTTTGTTTGTTTATTTATCTATCTATCACAAGAGTTGGTTTCACTTTCTTATTTCTGTGGAATTAATCACAGATGCACATAATTCTCTTCTCATTTACTTAAACATTTCTAAGGCTGTACTTTAAGCTAACCGCATTGCTATTACACTTATGAACTTCAAGTTCATATGTCAGCTTTTTGGAGAAATGCTTTTTTCATCCCTTTTATATTCTGAACATTTCTTTTAGGTGCTCAGAGCCAGCTTTTGTCCTTCAGCTAAAATGCCAGCTTGATAACCTACTCCTTCTACATATGAAAGCTGGAGATAAGATTTTGATGTGGCATACATTTACTTCAGCCTACTGCCAAATACAAAGTAGACAGCTGTCATGTGAGCCCCAGGTTGACAACTAATTTCTCACTGGAGTTATAATCTGAACCACACAAGAGCAGAAAGGCCAACAGCATTAGCTTCACCTACTGACTTCCTTTTGCATAGCCAGAGAACGAACTCAGATCTTTCTAACTCTTGTCATCTATTCCTGCATGGACAGAAAGATCAGCTGGGGTGGTTGTTCAAGACTATGAAAGGGTTACGGCAGAGGTTAAGAGGAACAAGTAGCTTAGATGCATCAGGTGAAACAGAGGGAGTTACAGAAGAAGCAAACAATTCTGTCGCTGCCTTTTCTTTTTTACCTTTGACATTTATAAAGCGAGTAGAAAGCCCTTTGCTTGTATACTGACAAAATGATCATCGTTGTTATTACACTTATTCATTTTACTGCTACATTATTTCTAATCAAGTACAGTAGCCAGCAATGTCTGTAGGAGGGAAAGGGCATCGAAATCTGCAAGGTGGTGCATGTGGCATTGTAACTGAAGCCCTACTTCTCCTGTACATGTGTTGACCCCTATATATAAAAGGAGCAGGACTTTAATTGTGATGCTACAGCTGCTGTGTCGCAGTTTTTGAGACACACACATGGATGCCCATGGTCACAACATAGTGTGTTATTTCGGAGATGTTGGATGGATATATACATGCCATATCCTTTTCTGAGATACCCTGTTGCTTCTCATCTCTGGCATTTCCCATTTCTTCCCTGAAGTATCGCTGAGCAGTTTATAGCTGTTGAACACACATCCAGTCTTTAGTGATACACACACACACTGTATATAGTTCTACTTCCCATACATACAGAAACTATAGACTCCATCCAATCACGCTGGACTCTGGGATTTATTTCCACATATCTTCTAGGCAAGCATGGAGGTGGTTTGGCACTACCTTTTCCTAAGATTATTATTATTATTATTGACTTCTCAGCTTAGCCTACAGTTCTGCTTTTCCCTGGAGGTCTCCCATCCAAGTACTTATCTGACAGCTTAGCTTCCCAGCCCAAACAAGGTTGACCAGGTGTCATACGTATCAATGTACAATATACATGGCCATATTACTTAGGAAAATAACACAATACATTACTATTTGCTAGGACTGTGAAATGCTTCAGATTCACTTTGGAAGAGGTGTGTTGGAATGACAATGCAGGCACTCTTGGATTTTTGAATGAATGGCACAGAGGTCCTGCATCTGGGCTCCTTTGCATTCTGAAGGACCTCTTCTGAACTGAATCTGAAACATTACACAGTTCTACCGTTGGCACAGTTGGACCCTATGTGGGCCTGTCCAGATATGAGTCTAACCCTACTCAATGAGAAAAAGTAGGATTGCAGCTTTTTTCTTTTTTACAAAAAGTAAACAGTACAAGCAGAAGCAGAAAGCACTAATCACATTTGCAACTTGGCAGCAGCTCCTGAAAAGAGACCTCCCTCCCGCTTCTGATCACTGGCTTATATAATTAACATTTAATCAGGAAAGCCACATTTTTAATTTGGACCCCATGTTGCATTCTTCAGAAGTTTATCAGATAGGTTCACTTACAGATCTCTCTGGAATGGACATACTTGTATATCTTGTTTATCCTGTCACCAGTAGAGGTCACCTGTCTCTTCTGGAGTGCAGGAATGGATAACATCATATTCCTCCTAGCCCATAGAAAAAGTAGTCCCCACTTTTGTCTTCAAGCTATGATTCAAAAGTAGTGCTTTCTGGTCAAGCTGCTTTAAGACCTTCAAGGGTGGATCCTTTCAAGCTCTCCATTCCAATTTAGCCACAGCTAAGCCTAGCTGCATGACTTGCCATGCTCCTTCCCCTTGGCTAGTCACTGCCTCGTGCAGCCATTTCTGCCTGGGCTGCCAGACTGCTTAGATCTCCACTCATTTTCTTTATTTTTCTTTTAAAATTTATAATTTCAAAAGTGTACAATACAGGTAGCAACCACAATTGGGACTGGCAACTCAGTCTTTAAGTGAAACAGTTACTAAGTGAAAAATCACATGACTGCAACTGTGTTTACAATTTTACTTCAGCTTT